TTTGTCTCTAGGTGTTGTAAACGTACTGGTCACTACTCCTCTGTGGGTTGTCAACACCAGACTGAAGCTTCAGGGATCCAAGTTTCGCAACGCAGACATACGGCCCACCAACTACTCTGGCATTCTGGGTAAATAGTTATTATCAAAATCATGTTTGTTGCCAATTAGGTCTCCAAATACAAGGAATTTGCTTTGGTGTATAATGGTGCATACATGAACACAGTAAGAGCAATTCATTTGTTAAAAACGATTATTATAAAATTAAAGAAATAAGAAAAAATGCTAACAGAAATAAAAAGGTAAAATAAGAAAATCACAATTTACTGTGAAAAATTCAATGTGTAGTATATTGGGATTTAAAGTATAAAAGCTGTGCACTTTTAAAAGTCTTAAGAGTTTTTCTCAGCTTCTACAGTATGTGACATTTACTGCCAAACATGGGTGCAATCAGGGTTATGACTTATCTCTCTCTCAATTTTTTTGTTTTGTTGCAATCATAGTTGATCTGCTCTGTTGTGTTTCGAAGATGCGTTTGCACAGATCATCCGAGATGAGGGAGGAGGAGCGCTGTGGAACGGGACCTTCCCCTCGCTGCTGCTGGTGATGAACCCCGCCATCCAGTTCATGATCTACGAGGGTCTGAAGAGGCAGCTGAGGAGAGGGGTTCCCAGGGAGGTGAGTCAGGGAAAAGAGAGGGATTAGGGAGATTCAAATATTTTAAGGAAAGGGAAGATCAGTGCTGGAGTCATAGCAAAATGATAGAAGAAAGGAATAATGGATAAGAAAGTGTAGATGAAGTGAGAAGATGTGTATGGAGCAACGTTTGTTTTTATTATTATACATCACAACATTTCTACAAGAAATGTTCACAATTTTAACGATCAATGTCAAATAAATTGCATTGTCATTTCATATTCATTTTCAAGTGTATCATTAGATTTTATGCCAAAATCGATGAATATGAGTTGAAATAATATATATTCAGCTTTACGCTTTAATATTTATACAGTTGGCAGTGATGTGTTATTTAGTAGTTGTGACTTAGTTGTGACTATTTAAATGTACTGGGTAAGAAAATAAACTTTAACAATTGAATGTCGGTAGAAGTATATACAACATGAGAGCACATTTTGAACTTCACAAACATATCCACCAAGCCCAAGATATGATAAACAAGAGTTCTATTGATCAAAACACTGCGCTGAATACCCTGAATATCATAATATTATATTAATAGTACACTATTACTACTGGTAAACATTATGGTTAAAAAATAAGGATGGTCTTATAATTAACGAATGGGAAAGTAAAGGTTACTTCAGGTCATCCCATCATCTGGATGAGTAGACACTTGATATGCAGTAATTCTGTTCACATGATCTTTGTGTGGCTTAAGCAGAAACATAGATTAACAAGTATAGAAATACTATGGTATTAAAGTACTCCATTACAAGTAAAAGTCCTAAAATGTTTTGTCCACACCTGACTTTTTTCTTCCCCCCCCCCTTAAGCTGTCATCTGTTGAGGTCTTCCTCATCGGAGCTGTTGCTAAAGCAGCTGCCACCATTGTTACCTACCCACTGCAGACCATACAGTCCATTCTCAGGGTGAGCTGTGTTTATTCAAAATGTCTATACCTGTTGCTCTTTTCTACACAAAAAACTGTTCAGCCTTACAGATCTCTTTTTCTTCCTCAGAATGCTCTATAAGATGCTATGATCACAATCACTCAGTTTTACACATTGTAACTCTTTGATTGTCCTTCTTCTAAATCACTACAGTTTGGTCAGTTCAACGAGTCGACGGGCGAGTCAAAACTACTGTCAAGTCTTCGGACTATCAAGTGTCTGTTGATCAACAGAGTGAGGTGGGTACACACACACACACACACACACACACACACACACACACACACACACACACACACACACACACACACACACAATCTTACATTACTGATAAGATTTTTGAATCAGGCCACTCTTTTGGCTTAATTTTTGGCAACATAATGTACATTACTGTATATTTTAAATACTGGGTATATTAGCATTAACTTACTGCATTATAACATACAATGGTTTTTTATAATTACAAAGAAGTTAATAACTATTAGTTACTGTGGAATAAAAAGTACAGTTTTTGCCTCCAAAATGAGTAGAATTATGTGTAGGATATATATAACGGAAAAACTCAAATAGATTACAGGTTTGTCAAAATAGTACAGAAGTACTTTTACTTGAGTAAATGTACTTTGTTACATTGCACTACTAAGTCACAGAGTCCATATGGGTAAACACCACACGAACACATAGTCACGTGATCACCATTGTATTTCTAATTACATCCATAATAATGCATCTTTCGTTGACGTTTGTGCATGCAGAAAGATAAACATCATACATCTCAAGACCTCTAGTTTTTCACATTGTATCCCTGGTTTCCTTCTATAGGAAGTTTGGCATGTTGGGTCTGTTTAAAGGCCTGGAGGCCAAGCTGCTGCAGACGGTGCTGACTGCTGCCCTCATGTTCCTTCTCTATGAGAAGATCGCCAGCAGCACCTTCAAAATGATGGGACTGAGCAGAAACCACTACAAGAAACACTAGATATCTATATGGACTTTAACTTTATGAAAGCACTGGCAGTCTGTCACAGCTCACAGACTCTGTGATGGGGAGTTCCTCTCTGATCCGACGTTTTTGAATGAAATGAAGAAGTTAAGAGAGATTAAAAATAACTTGAGATTTTAAAGATGCACCAGTTCACCTCCTGTCTTTTTGTCAAATTCGGTTGACCTAGAAAATATGAACTTAATCTTAGCATACAGAATTGAAAAGAGGGGAAACGGAACCATAACTTGATTCAAGGTATGTGAATGAAGTATTTGTTGTTGCAGACAAGATGTTAAATTGAATAAGTTACGCAGATCATGCAGGTAAGTCAAAATAAGTTAAAGGGGACCTATCATGCAAAATGCACTTTTGTACGTCTTTTATACATGAATATGTGTCCCCGGTGTGTCAGGGAACTCACCAAGTGTCAGAAAACACAACCCTCTCTCTTTTTCTCCATACCCAAATCTCTAAAAACGGGGCTGCAACGGAGCTGATACAGATTTGAAATTGTTCTGACGTCAGAAACAGGGAGCTCCGCTTATATGGGCAACTCTCCACCTATCAGGGGAATGGGGGGTTGGGCCACGGCCATTGCCGCTTGAAAGCGCTGGAGACTCTGTAGTACATATGCCAGGCCTGTAAGTGGCGCTGTAGTCTGCCACAAAAGCAGCGAAGAAGACTTCTCACAGAATCAGCCCTTGCAAAAACAGGGCTGGAAAAGAGCAAATAGAACGAAATGAGGCATGGCTAAAATGCATGATCTGTTTGGTATTTTGAAAAAACTTCACAGACATGTTTTATATAGGTATGGCCCTACAATATATTATTCAAATATAGCATGATAGGTCCACTATAACATTAACAGTCATTTCACACAAATAGAAAGTCCTGTTTGTCTGGCCTTGAATTAGAAACAAGGAAGTCAGACAAACAGGTTATTTTGGATCGTTATTACGTTGTCCCATTACATGTAATCAGTTTCTCGCTTAGCCTGTTTTTGTGCATGCAGGACAAGTGTTTCAAAAGAGACATCTTACAGGTTGTTTGAATTGCCTTTATAAAAGATACAGGATACTCAACAGCATAAAAAACAAGGCATTGCACATAATTAGAAATTAAAAGAGTAGAAATAAACATTTCAAAAATTTGAAAGATGTCAAAATAGAAATTAAAAAGTAGAAAATATGCATTTGACGTGAAGATGAAACATAATAGAACATGTTGCTTACTTCCCATTGGAATTAATAAAGCATTTAGATTGTTTACATTTCTTTATATTATCTAAACACAATTGCGTTTCTAGGCAACAGCATGGTTCCATTCTTACTTCCTGTCAGCTGATGTCCTTCACTCTTTATTTGGAATGGAACCTTCAGAATTATGACATCATCTTTTGCTTTCATGTAGAATTCTGATTCTGCATTGATCTTCTAGAATTCATCAGAGCATCAGAGCACCAGAGCAGCAGAGCAGCAGGCAGAAGCAATTTGTCCAGCTAGTGTCAGATCATTGCAGAAATAGGTTTTGTTGCAAGCAAACATTAGGGATACTTGCAGTGTTTTTTAGCGAGATAATCTTCACAAGTGAACTCAACTTTTGTGGGATTTTTGTGACGTTAATTCAGTCGAACAATTACATTTAGTTTGCTAAACAACAGGTCATTTCGTCACAGCAGTAGAGATGGAGTTGAACAATAGAGATGAGCTGGCAGTCAAGCTCGAGATTCTGCAAAAAGAAAATCAGAAAATGAAGTTGTTGCTGGAGCAGGAGAGGACTTTAAGGGATAAGCTTGAGATTGAAGGCGCTAAAAATAAGGAAGCGATGCTCAAAGCATATACAGAGAAATCAGCTTTGCAGTTTAAGCACAATGTGAAAGTGAACGCCCTGGAAATTGAGCAGAACGTCTTGCGCGTCAACAATGAGGCCCTGAACATGAAATACAGAAACCTCCAGAGGTCACACAAGAAGGTCGTAGCAAAGATGGCTGCCTGGAACCAGGAACTCAAACAACTGATAGAACCCTGTGTTGGGGAGCAAGGTGCAGAGATGGCTGCTTTGCGTGAGAGAAACCAGGAACTCCAACAACTGAAAGAACCCTGTGTTGGGGAGCAAGCTGTAGAGATAGCTGCTTTGCGTGAGAGAAACCAGGAACTGGAACAACAGAAGGAACGTTGTGTGGAGGAGAAGGATGCAGAGATAGTCGCTTTGCATGAGAGAAACCAGGAACTGGAACAACAGAAGGAACGTTGTGTTGAGGAGAAGGATGCAGAGATAGTTGCTTTGCATGAGAGAAACCAGGAACTGGAACAACAGAAGGAACGTTGTGTGGAGGAGAAGGATGCAGAGATAGTCGCTTTGCATGAGAGAAACCAGGAACTGGAACAACAGAAGGAACGTTGTGTGGAGGAGAAGGATGCAGAGATAGCCGCCTTGCTGAAGGAAAACCAAACACTGAAACAAGAGAAGGAACGTCGTGTGGTGGAGGAGGCGAAGGTGGACAAGAAAGAGGTTGTGGAGGTGAAAGTGGAACCAGAAGTGAGGCACAATGTGAAAAGGATTGCCCTGGAAATTGAGCAGAAAGTCTTGCACGGAAACAATGAGGAACTGAACATGAAATATGGAAAGCTCCTCAAGATGCACGAGAAGGACAAAGCAGTGATGGCCACCTTGAGAAAGGCAAACCAGGATCTCAAACAACTGAAAGAACCCTGTGTTGAGGAGAAGGATGCAGAGATGGCTGCCTTGCAAAAGACAAACCAGGAACTCAAACAAGAGAAGTTGCGTTGTCTTGAGGTGAAACATTTTGAGATAGTCGTTTTGCATGATAGAAACCAGGAACTGGAACAACAGAAGGAACGTTGTGTGGAGGAGAAGGATGCAGAGATAGTTGCTTTGCATGAGAGAAACCAGGAACTGGAACAACAGAAGGAACGTTGTGTGGAGGAGAAGGATGCAGAGATAGTTGCTTTGCATGAGAGAAACCACGAACTGGAACAACAGAAGGAACGTTGTGTGGAGGAGAAGGATGCAGAGATAGTCGCTTTGCATGAGAGAAACCAGGAACTGGAACAACAGAAGGAACGTTGTGTGGAGGAGAAGGATGCAGAGATAGTCACTTTGCATGATAGAAACCAGGAACTGGAACAACAGAAGGAACGTTGTGTTGAGGAGAAGGATGCAGAGATAGCCGCCTTGCTGAAGGAAAACCAAACACTGAAACAAGAGAAGGAACGTCGTGTGGTGGAGGAGGCGAAGGTGGACAAGAAAGAGGTTGTGGAGGTGAAAGTGGAACCAGAAGTGAGGCACAATGTGAAAAGGATTGCCCTGGAAATTGAGCAGAAAGTCTTGCACGGAAACAATGAGGAACTGAACATGAAATATGGAAAGCTCCTCAAGATGCACGAGAAGGACAAAGCAGTGATGGCCACCTTGAGAAAGGCAAACCAGGATCTCAAACAACTGAAAGAACCCTGTGTTGAGGAGAAGGATGCAGAGATGGCTGCCTTGCAAAAGACAAACCAGGAACTCAAACAAGAGAAGTTGCGTTGTCTTGAGGTGAAACATTTTGAGATAGTCGTTTTGCATGATAGAAACCAGGAACTGGAACAACAGAAGGAACGTTGTGTGGAGGAGAAGGATGCAGAGATAGTTGCTTTGCATGAGAGAAACCAGGAACTGGAACAACAGAAGGAACGTTGTGTGGAGGAGAAGGATGCAGAGATAGTTGCTTTGCATGAGAGAAACCACGTACTGGAACAACAGAAGGAACGTTGTGTGGAGGAGAAGGATGCAGAGATAGTCGCTTTGCATGAGAGAAACCAGGAACTGGAACAACAGAAGGAACGTTGTGTGGAGGAGAAGGATGCAGAGATAGTCACTTTGCATGATAGAAACCAGGAACTGGAACAACAGAAGGAACGTTGTGTTGAGGAGAAGGATGCAGAGATAGCCGCCTTGCTGAAGGAAAACCAAACACTGAAACAAGAGAAGGAACGTCGTGTGGTGGAGGAGGCGAAGGTGGACAAGAAAGAGGTTGTGGAGGTGAAAGTGGAACCAGAAGTGAGGCACAATGTGAAAAGGATTGCCCTGGAAATTGAGCAGAAAGTCTTGCACGGAAACAATGAGGAACTGAACATGAAATATGGAAAGCTCCTCAAGATGCACGAGAAGGACAAAGCAGTGATGGCCACCTTGAGAAAGGCAAACCAGGATCTCAAACAACTGAAAGAACCCTGTGTTGAGGAGAAGGATGCAGAGATGGCTGCCTTGCAAAAGACAAACCAGGAACTCAAACAAGAGAAGTTGCGTTGTCTTGAGGTGAAACATTTTGAGATAGTCGTTTTGCATGATAGAAACCAGGAACTGGAACAACAGAAGGAACGTTGTGTGGAGGAGAAGGATGCAGAGATAGTTGCTTTGCATGAGAGAAACCAGGAACTGGAACAACAGAAGGAACGTTGTGTGGAGGAGAAGGATGCAGAGATAGTTGCTTTGCATGAGAGAAACCACGAACTGGAACAACAGAAGGAACGTTGTGTGGAGGAGAAGGATGCAGAGATAGTCGCTTTGCATGAGAGAAACCAGGAACTGGAACAACAGAAGGAACGTTGTGTGGAGGAGAAGGATGCAGAGATAGTCACTTTGCATGATAGAAACCAGGAACTGGAACAACAGAAGGAACGTTGTGTTGAGGAGAAGGATGCAGAGATAGCCGCCTTGCTGAAGGAAAACCAAACACTGAAACAAGAGAAGGAACGTTGTGTGGTGGAGGAGGCGAAGGTGGACAAGAAAGAGGTTGTGGAGGTGAAAGTGGAACCAGAAGTGAGGCACAATGTGAAAAGGATTGCCCTGGAAATTGAGCAGAAAGTCTTGCACGGAAACAATGAGGAACTGAACATGAAATATGGAAAGCTCCTCAAGATGCACGAGAAGGACAAAGCAGTGATGGCCACCTTGAGAAAGGCAAACCAGGATCTCAAACAACTGAAAGAACCCTGTGTTGAGGAGAAGGATGCAGAGATGGCTGCCTTGCAAAAGACAAACCAGGAACTCAAACAAGAGAAGTTGCGTTGTCTTGAGGTGAAACATTTTGAGATAGTCGTTTTGCATGATAGAAACCAGGAACTGGAACAACAGAAGGAACGTTGTGTGGAGGAGAAGGATGCAGAGATAGTTGCTTTGCATGAGAGAAACCACGAACTGGAACAACAGAAGGAACGTTGTGTGGAGGAGAAGGATGCAGAGATAGTCGCTTTGCATGAGAGAAACCAGGAACTGGAACAACAGAAGGAACGTTGTGTGGAGGAGAAGGATGCAGAGATAGTCACTTTGCATGATAGAAACCAGGAACTGGAACAACAGAAGGAACGTTGTGTTGAGGAGAAGGATGCAGAGATAGCCGCCTTGCTGAAGAAACAGCTGAAAAAACCACCACAGGCACTCTGCATGGTGAAGGAGGAGCTTGTGGAGGTAAAGGTGGAGTTGGAGGTGGAACAGGAAGTGAGGGTGGATCCACCTGAGCAAACCAATGAGCCGATCCCAACAACGCAGAGGAGGACAACACCACGGTGGAGAAGATTCATCAATTCCTTTTCTTGTATCCGCCCAAACATCAACGATGACTAAAAAGGAAAACATAAGACTCAAAGGCAGCCCTGACATCGGCTTTAAAAACTTTAAAAAACAAACTCACAACATCAAAAATTAGTAAGACATTAAAACATTTCAAGTACAGTCTAAAGCTCAAAGTGAGTGAGCAACAACATATACTCACAGCCAGTCAGGATATATATTTAAACACTTAACAGTTATTAGATCTGGTTAGACATCAACAAAGGTTCCAGAAGAGACTCACAGTGATGTGCAGTTTTAGCCACTAGGGGCAAAAAAACAACCTTAATTTAAAAATAAATAAACTATTCCTTTGCTTCTAGCACCCCTAAATAAGAGGAACATTTAGTCATTACAAGTTATCAGGTTTATGTTATATCGTCATGTTTGGTTTATAGTGTTCATTTTCATATTTAAGTTATATTTTTCATATTTACTTAATAGTTCATTTTTATATTTGTTATATTTATCATGTTTAGTTAATAGTCAATATTTATATGTATCTTATATTTTTCATATTTACTTAATAGTACATTTCTATATTTATGTTTAGTCCATTGTTTTCTTGTTAAGTTAAAGTCTTGTCAATCAATAAAAAAATAATAATGATAATGATAACAATACTGACACGTTTGATTTATTTCACGTTTGTTTCTCCTGTCTAAGTTTAGCTTCTTGCTTTTAATTTCAAGTCACCAGAGATTTAGTCTGAGAATTCAACTAATAATAACAATCAATACAAAGACATTCAAATTCAAAATAACACTAGAATTCTTTCTCGTTTGTTCCTCCTGTTTTTGTCTAGTTACCTTTGTATTGAGTGACTTTAGCTCACCTGGCTCTGCCCTGATCAATACACTGACTTAAAGCTACTTCAGTACTTACTTTATTACCTTGTTTACAAAGTTTGCATTCAACAATTATCATAATAAATATAAACAAATGAAAAAACAACACTATGTATTTGATTTCTTTCAAGTTTGTTTTAGTCAACTATTTGATTTTAAATGCAACAGCACCAGCAAAAGTAGTTTTTTTTTTACATTTCTGCTGATGTCCAGGTGTACAGTATATCAGTATGTAGTGTCTCTACTTTAAAGAGTCCTCTCCTGATGATGTCCAGGTGTATATCAGTATGTAGTGTCTCTACTTTAAAGAGTCCTCTCCTGCTGATGTTCAGGTGTATATCAGTATGTAGTGTCTCTACTTTAAAGAGTCCTCTCCTGCTGATGTTTAGGTGTATTTCAGTATGTAGTGTCTCTACTTTAAAGAGTCCTCTCCTGCTGATGTTCAGGTGTACTGTATATCAGTATGTAGTTTATACTACTCCACTACATTTTGGATGTACATGTTGTACTCTTAACTCTGCTACAAGCGTCTTTGAGTTCTAGAGAAGCACTATATATAAATATTATTTATTATTATTATTATTTATCTGAGAGCTTTAGCAACTAGTTGTTCTACATATTCAGATTATTAGCTAATACAAAATGCCAGCTGCTATAGACTCATGAATGCATCAATAATCATAGTGCAGTAATATTATATAAATATTATTCAGAAATAGGCTACTTTTAATTTTTGGACTCTGAGTATATTTTGAAGGCTATCTTTAATTAAGTTATGTCTTGTACTTTTACACCACTGTGCTAATCTATAGAAGGCAAAGAGAAAGCAATGAAAGTCAGCAGGCTTGTTTTACACTAGGCTTGTTTGAGACGAGCTGCGGCTCGCCTCGAAAGTAGACGAGAATAGCCGATCGCAGCCGGGGGAGGTCTCAAAAAGCTCGCCTGAAGTCGGACAGCTCGGAGTCGGCTTCTTCTTCTTCTTCTTCTCTCGGTTTTTTGGCGGATTTCAAACAACTTTAAGATGCATACTGCCACCTCCGGAGTCGGCTTGACTCGGTTTGCATTTATAAATGCACACGGCATCTATTGCACGTCTGTCCGTCCTGGGAGAGGGATCCCTCCTCTGTTGCTCTCCCTGAGGTTTCTCCCATTTCCCCTTTAAACTGTGGGTTTTTCTCTGGAAGTGTTTCCTTGTATGATGTTAAACGTAAGGACAGAGGGTGTCGTATTGTCATACTGATATTCTGTACAAACTGTGAAGTCCACTGAGACAAATGTAACATTTGTGATATTGGGCTATATAAATAAACATTGATTGATTGATTGATAAAGAATGGACAAATATGTTTAATCGTTAATGTCAGATATGTACTAAGTAAATATATTTGTTCCTGCTCAAGATTAGATTCAACTTTATTGTTATTGCACATATTACAGGTACTGAGACAACGAAATGCAGTTTAGCTTCTAACCAGGAGTGCATAAAGCAGTAAAGTGAAAAGTAATGTACACAATCTACAGAATAAAATATAGAATGAATTGAATGATGAATAAACAGTGAGGGGTATGAATACACTATATACACAGTAGCCTAGCCTAGTATGAACAGTGTGTTGTATGAATATGCTAAGATATATAAAGTATGACAACGGTAAGCAGTGCAAGTATAGTATACACATATATAGATATTAATTTAATGATGATAAACATTGTGGAACAATGATGAAAAATGTGAATGGAAGTGGCGACGTAAAACTGACACAAAACAACACACTTTTGCCGAGCCAATGGAGAGTTTCATCCCCAGCACGGGGTAAAACCCACCAATGAGCGCTCAGCTCGAGATACCAGCAAGTCGTTTCCCATCAAGCATTTCGCTTCTGCAGCCCGTGGAGAGAAACTGCGCCGCCTCGCTCTCAAGTCTGCGGGCGTCTTTGTCCCGCGAGATTTCAACGTCTCATGTAGGCGAGCCTCCAGAGCAAGTCGGACAAAATAGGCTTGTTTGAGACAAGCGAGACCTGCGCAGACCTGCGCAATTGCGATCAACGTCTTGCTAGTGCGTTGCATGATGGTTAGTCATTTTGTCCGACTTGCTCAGGAGGCTCGCCTACATGAGACGTTGAAATCTCGCGGGACAAAGACGCCCGCAGACTTGAGAGCGAGGCGGCGCAGTTTCTCTCCACGGGCTGCGGAAGCGAAATGCTT